TAAGAATATTTTTAGGAATTATTTTCGGATAAAAGCATTTTTAAAAATTTTAACATTTTTTATTTAATTTAATTTTTTATTTATTATATTTATTTATAAATTAAATTTTAATATTTTTAAATAAATTATCAATAATTTAAAATGATTTTGTACCACAATATAAATTATGTATATCTTAAATTTAACATATAATTTATATGTTTAAAATATTATTTATATAAATTTTGAATATACTTTATATATTCAAATATAATTTTTATTTGTATATGATTTATTATAAATTTTAGTTATATGAAATAAACATTTAGCCTGACAAAAGATCTACAATTGTTGTCAACTAAAATTCATCTCTGTCTTGATGAAAATCAATCCCAAAGTAAGTGGTTTGTTAAAAAAAACTCAAATCCTACTTTGTTTTCTTCTCAATCAAAGTCACACATTGTCCACAATAATATCATGCTTCTCCTTCTTCCCTTATATAGGGAGGTGACCTCAAACCTTTACACAGACACAAAAATTTCCATCAATTGGATTTCTAAAATTGGAATCAGTGGAAACATTGAACTCGTAGTAAACTTTTTAAGGGCTTAATGGAGAACATTAAACTTATAATTTTTTTTCTCTCTTTTGTTTTAGTCTTCTATTGGAGAACCATGGATTGTCATGTAGATGAAGACACTCTAAAAAAATGTGAAATGCCATAACAAATTGTCGTCTTGAAGTTAGTGTCTTTTATCTTATATTTTTAATAAATATATTATTTATTTAATTTTTATTTTTAGAAATGTTTTATTCAACATTTAATTTTCTTTTTTATTGTAAATTCGTAATAATATCTTTTATAATAATTAAATAAATGAACTTATAGAAGAAAAAATAGAATTAAATAGATGTGACATTTTTTAACTTTCTCAAATTTTGAGAATAAAAGTTGTGACAATTTGGTATACTCAAATTTCTTCTTTTGATTAATTTTTATAATCCATCTATAATAATAAATAATAATTAAAATATTCAAATAGACACACTTTAGTGTACACCTCTATCAATTTTAAAATTTAAAATGCATGAATTAGGATAGTTCATAAATTCTTAGATCTTAAAAATATAAAAATTATTTGTATGAAAACAAATAAAAAATTTAAAAATTAACACACAAATGTTTTCTACCAAAGAATTAAGTGAATTTGGCTCTCCATTATATATGGAGATTCATAGAACCAAGAAATCATTCTTGTTAAATCAAAAAATAAAAATAATAAGATTATCTCTCATTTTTTCTTAACAACAACAATAATAATAATAAATAATTTCAATATTCATTAAAATAAAATAAACACTTGTTAAATAAAATACATTTGATTGTTATAATTAATTTTGATTAATTTAGAGTGAGATAAATGTTTTGAAAGTATAAATAGTTTGTTTAGTTAATTATAGGTAATTGTCTTTATGACAGGTATTGTAAGGTGTTAATAGTTTCGCTACACATAACTAACCCCCGAATCTAATATCTATTTTTGTAGACCATTTTTCTATTTTATGGGTTTTCCAATGTTTTTCTTTAAAATAAACATTGGTAGCAACTTCCTATTTTTTTAATATATTTTCTTCTTCCCATCATAACCCTAGTTGCTTCTATGTTATATGGGTGATAATTGATAGGTTGTCAAAATGTGTTCATTTTCTTCCTATCAACATTAAGTGGTCTTTGGAAAATCTAACTGGATTGTACATCAGAGAGATAGTATGTTTGCATGGAGTGTATTCCAATATTATCTTAAAAAGAGATCCAAGGTTCACTCTCAAGTTTTGGTAGAGTTTGCACCAAGCCCTAAGGACAAGGTTGAAATTGAATCTTGCTTATCACTTAAAGATTGATGGAAAATCTAAGAGGGTTATTCAATCTTTGGAGGACTTGTTGAAAATTTGTGTGTTGGATCATCTTAGTAGTTGGGAGGATGTATTGCCTTTGGTGAAGTTCACTTATAACAATTTTCATGCTAGTATTTGTATGGAACCTTTTGAGGCCTTGTATTGGAGAAGATGTAGAACCCCTCTATGTTGGTATAAGGAGGGTAACTCAATTATAGTGAGACCAAAGTTAGTTCTGCAAACTATTAAAAAGGTGAAGATGATTCTGATGGCAAAGCTAGGTGAAGAAGATTGATGATCTTCCCTTGACTTTGCTCCGGCCCTGGGATCCTTTCCTTGAGCCAATTCTGGACTTTAAACTCAAAAAAATGAAGGCGAAGATTGTGGAAATTAGGTGAAGAAGGAAGCACCAAAGTGAAAGAAGCAACGGATTGCTCACAATGGTACCTAAACCTAAAAGCTCTCAAGGAAACTAGACTAGGCATGAAGAGACTTTGAAAAGAGAAAAATTTGCTAAAGCAAATGGTCTCATTTCTCAAATGATTCAAAGTGAATACAAATGTGAAGGAAAACAGCTAAAATAAGCGTGCAAACTAAGCAAATTGGCGCCAAACTCAAGCATCACCTTTGACACCAAGAATTTGAATTCAAATTTTTTGGCTCCCATGTGCTGGCCGTGAGTCTAGAAGCTCTCATGTATTTAGATTACATTTAAAGTGTGTTTAAATTGAATTTGGGCATGCACATGTTCAGCCACCCTTGGCTAAAAACATGTGACCCAAATTCAACTTAAATGACTTCTAAATGAAATATAATTTTAGCTAAACTTGCCTATTAAGTATTCTTTCTAATTTCATATTTTAATAGCCTAAATACAATAACCAATCAAATACAAACAATAAGAAATAATAAAAGAAGCAAAATGAACCCAATATTGGGTACCAAAATACCCAAGGCCCATAAAGCCCAAAAATAGGCTCACTAAGCCTATGGCCTAAAACACTAATCTAAATGGTCCAAAATACAAGACCAAAATGTCCTATTCCTACACTACACAATAAAGACAATAAAAGGGTGGTCATTGTAAAGCCCATGTGAAGAGTACCCTAGGCCCACCAAGCTCTAAAGCAGTCAAGTCTTCTTGTTATTTCCTAGCCATAGCTCTAGTGGTTGGATCCTTGGTCCATGCTCTTCTATCAAATTCAAAAAAGGGTGAAGACTACCCTAAGTAGGCAAAAATCTTATGCAAATAGGAGGAGGAAGCCTTTAGAGTTGAGGGAAGAGAACATGTGTTTCTTAGGTGACACCCACTACTATAGTGGGAAGGGCGATAAAGTCCATAAAATTGACACCAAAATTCATTAGGCATTATCAAATACTTCACCATGTAGGTCTGGTGACATATAAGTTTATTTTGCCATCATTCTTATATAAGTTGCATGATATGTTTCATGTCTCTCTATTGAGAAAGTATGTTTATGAGTTATGTCATGTGATGGAGTCTAATATTGTACAAGTTAAAGAGAATTTGACCTATGAGTAATACCCAACTATAGTGGTGAGTCATAAGGTGAAGGAGTTGAGGGAAAAGTCCATTAGTCTTGTCAAGGTGATTTGGGATGCGTGAGACTACATGGGAGTTGAAAAATAGGATTATAGATCAATATTCATGTCTCTTCTCAAGTAAGTCAATTTTCGAGGACAAAAATTATTGTTGTTGGAAAGAATTGTAACACTATATGATTTATATATCTTATTAATTAATTCTATGCTTCATTGTATTTTAATGTGAATATGTTATATTTATTGTTGTTATAGAACTCTAAGGGTTAAGAAATCATTAAGAGTTAGGTTGTTTTAGTTAGAGTCAAGATGAACAAATTTAGGAAATGTGTTTAAGATTTTTTTTAAGAAGTAAACTTCATGAATTCACATATTAGGAAAGTTAGAGAAAAACTCTAGAGTCAAAGAGAACTTCCTCTTCTTTTGACCTCGTAGCATACTCAAATCCTTCTCCATAGCTAATCTTTGTGACAGATTATTAGATTCAAAACTTGGAAATCGAGAATCTAAAGTTGAGTTGCCATGTAGAGAGTTCGAGTTTCTTCTCTATTCTTCCTTTCCTTTCTTGATTTCTAAGTGATTTGAGGTAAAAAAAAAAAAGTTTGTAATAGATGATTGTTGAATTATAATAAATAAAAAGTAGTTAAAAATGACCACATAAAAAATATAAACTAAGAAAGTAGTTTAAACTTTAGAAGAATGAGAAACAATTTTTTTTTTACAGAAACTAAAATTAAAGCTAACTAATTTTACATGGATTAAAGTTATATTTAAACGGTTTTAAAACTTTTAATATTTTTGGAAGATGGTGTATGATTGGGAAATAAAAGCGAAAAATTACTTGACCGGCCCAAATATAAAAAGCCCATTCTAGCAAATGAGAGGGCCCAATAGGCAAATTCATTAGTTTCTACTACATACATTCACATTTCACCGAGTCATATAAAATCCCTATTGCTATTCCTCTAGGTTTCTGTTCGAATCCCTAACCCTATTTCTCCTTTTGTTTTCACATTAACAGTTTCTTCTTCCTTCTTCTTCGTGTTGATACTTGTTTCTTTGATTGTTGTGTAACTTCTGTATTTTTTATTCTTTACTTATTGGATCGTCGTCAATATATTCACTATTCTTCAGTTTATTTGCGTTTTTCTCTCTGAATTTACTCTGAAAATCAAGTTCAAAAGTATTAATTGGAGCAAATTGCTCGTTTTGTTGCCCAATGATGTACAATCAAATTGTTGAGCGGCTTCACTGTTTCGTTCATAACCTGATCTTGCATCCCTCTCTCTCTCTCTCTCACTCTCTCTCTCTCTGTTGATCTATCTATCTCTTATTCATTGTGTGTGTGTGTGTGTGTGTGTGTGTGTGTTTGTGCAATGCTAGCTATATGCGCTCTCATCTATAAGGTGCGAGAAGGTTGTGAACGAATCGTGATAAAAGCTGTACATGATTTTGTACGAAGCTATGAGATCTGAGGGCTTTGTATTTAGTTGTCTTTAAATTCATGATTTTGCTATGTTGATTTGTTTACTGTTGGCTTTGCGAATTGTTTATCATGTTTAGTGAATGATGATACATGCACTGGGTGGGCTCTGATCAGTTTAAACTGCACTTTTGATGGAAATGCGTAGCCTAGAAACTGTGTCTGACTACCCACAAGATGAAAAAGAGTAATTGATTGATTGGTAAATTCATTGGTTCCTATTGCATCTAGTTCCTTTCGCTTTAAATCCTAATGATGTATTATTCTTAGCTGATGATTAAAAAGGTCTAATTTTCTCACTTCTATCCACTGGCGCTGTTTTTTTAATCATTTTGGTTTTCTGTTTAGTTTTTCTTTGTTCTATTTTTCATGTGCTGTTTATCGAATTGTTTTCTGATTGATATGTGGAAGTGGAACTCATGGAAATTCTTATGACCTCTGTCTTATTCATTAACATCTTACTCAGTCTTTTGTGTGGTTTATTTTAACATCTGTTGTGTGCTGAAATATTAAGCCCTTTTTGTGTGATGCGATGCTTTCACATTCATTTGTTTATTGAGGAACCCCTTTATGTATTAACCCTTTTTTACTACTTTTAATTGATTTCTCACAATCATGATTGGAAGAAGAAAATTTCATCAAAATAAGCTTTGATAATGAAAGTTTGGGCGATTTTTCTGCAATCCTGCCCAATGATGTACACATAGAGTATTGAACAGCTTCATCGTTTGGATCATAACCTGTTCTGCATCTTTTTCTCCTCTCTCTCTCTCTCTCTCCCCCACTCTTTTCTCTTCCTTTCCCAGTCTGTGTGGGTGTGCTCATTTAATTGTGGTGTTTGTGTTGTTTATGAGAAAGGTGCAAGAAGGTTGTGAATGGTACCATCGATAAAAAGTTGTAGATGATTTTGTATTAAGCTATGAGATCTGAGGGCTTTGGACTCATCCTCGTTTATTTTGATTTTAACAGCTGGCAATTGTTTCAGTGAAATAAATTTTTTCTTATAGTTGGGAAAGAGCTCCCTCCCAATTCCATTATTGTGATCTTATTCCAATGATTGCTGCTTTAATTTGTTAAGGTGTGCATTGGATCTGATGATGTATTATTAGCTTCTACTGCTTGTTTGACTTTGTAGTTGGAAAATCTGGAATTAAATATCTTGAACTGTTGTATTCACAGTTAAGGACTACATATTTACATTGTTCGGAAATTATAATGCTCATCTGTCCAATTTATCCCCGTTCTGTAGCTAGATTTTTCTATTCTATCCGTGACACTAACTTGTTTTGCATAATGCAAGCTTCACTTCTCGTGCACCAAGATAACTCCCTCCAAGTTATAAGGGCAAATACTATTTTGTATGTGGACTTATGATAATAGTTTAATATTAATAATAATCAAGTCTCTTGCATTTCAAGTATTGATGTTGATTCAATAGGTCCTTGAGAATCAAAACTCCCTCCAAGTCACTGGATGTCAGCCTTTTTGTTTGAGTGCAGGTAGCATCCCTCACTTACGTGTACAATATTTCATGATAATGGTAAATCTGCTGATTTTAATGATGGTTGAGTATTGGCTCCTTCTCTTTATAATTTGACTATTTAATTTTTTCCAACATCTTATTTTCGTTTTGTTTGTAATCTCACTCGATCAGTTGTTTCGTTAGAGTTCACAGTTTTACATTTTGTTTACCTTCGTTGTAAAGAGAATGAAATTGACTGTTACAGTTGTGAGGCTGTTAACCGTAGCTTCTATCTTCTATCTTTGTGGATTCTTTGTTTTCTGTTGTTTTTAAATTACTGTATTCTTTTTCTTTAAAAAGTTTCTGTTAATTATCGCCAATGCTGATTGTTTATATTGTTGATGAATGAATACTTTCACTGGGCTAGTGCTTTTTATGATGATATTGCTCATCCAAAGTGTGTAATACTGTTCACGAGAAATTTTTGTTGGATACATGAATTTTTCTTTCTTTTTGACAATAATGCTCGGCCCGCGAAGATATATAGTGTTCTCAACTTTGCTTTTTCTATTTTTATAAAAGAAGCATATGTACTTATGAATGTTTAGTAACAGCTAATATAACGTTTGATGCATTTTTCATCAGGAATTCAATGTTTTATTTTAGTGTTCTAAAACTTCAAATTATCTAGAACTAAAACGGTTTTTTTTGCTCAGAGAACTTTAAATAGGAAAAGTTTCAGTAAATTGTCGTAGTTGCTATCTGTTGTTGCCCAATGATGAATAAATAGGCTATTGAGTGGCTACCTGGTTGTTTATAACTGGAACTGTACCATTGCCTCTCTCTCTTTCTCTCTCTCTCTCTCTCTCTCTCTCTCTCTCCCACCCTTTGTGTGTGTGTATGGATATGTATGTATATATATATATATATATAGATGGTGCAGGAAGGCTGTAAATGAAACCAGTGTCAATAGCTGCAGATGATTTGATTTCTTTTTAGCCATAAGATCTGAGGGCTCTGCAATTTACTTCCAATTACTTGCAAATAATTGAATGTGGGTTTTTTACTCTGATTTTTCATCTCATTATAGTACTACTAGCATCCATGCAAATGGTTGTCATAGTTTCCATTTTGAGAAATGTTATGTACACATATCTTAACACTTATTTTTGACAATTGTTTCTATTAGGTTAAATTCATGTGGGTCTTGTTAAGTATATTTGTGGTTCACTTTAGAACCCGAATAAATTTCAACAAATAGTGGTTTCTTGAAAAGAGAATATTAGAGAATGTGTTAATATCTCTCTTCATTCATTTGTTCCTCACTGGTACATCAGCTATGTGACTGGCTGCTTGCTATTCCACTGGTGTGTGACTTAGGGCATTTGCCAGTCTGTTAACGGGTGCATGGCAATGCTACTACCATTTTACTTGATCTGTTGCTACTAGATAATGCTGGATTAAGTGGCACATTTGTACTGCAGATGGTGACATCTTACTGTCCCAACAAATCATCCTTTGGCAAAGCCCCAAAGGAGGGTATGTTCAGGGTATCTTTTCGGTTCTCCCTAGTATTGCTTTTGTGCGCAAATGTCATCTATGTGGAAAAAGAACTATATACATTGATCTTCGTATTTGGTTTGTATTTTCCTGCCTTTGTAGTGAGGTGATTGATGCAAGCAACGATAAAGCCATGAGTTTTGGAATAATTCTGTATCATATACTAGCTTATTTAAATGAATAATCTGTTTTGTAAAAATTGTTTTAGAAAAGAGTTTCTTGACAAGAAAAGAAGCGATCCGTTAACATTTCAGAAAAGACTATTTTCAACTTCACACCATTATCCTACGTTACTTGGGAATTATGATGTTTAGCTTATGAAAAAGTATTTTTTTTCAGTTTTCGAAATTATGGTTTTGAATCTCTTTATTTTTTAATACATAATAGAAACATATATGATACACAGCAGAATCAGGTATTATCAATCAAATTTGGTTTGTGTTTAAAGAAATCCACGAGATCGCTCCTTTCAATCTGGGTGGGTAGGCATGATAATTTAACCTATTCTCGTGTTTATCGGGTTTGAATTTGTGTTTTTCTCGATTGATAAGATTGGGAACGAGGATTAAGATGTTAATATCCGTCTTTGTCCTGCTTAATAATATAATTAAAAAATATTTATATATATATAAATTAAAATTTGAAATATTTATATGTAATAATTTGTATTTTTTATTTTTATTTTATTTTTAAAAATTTGTTCATATTTATTTTTTTTAAAAGAGAAAGAAAAAAAAGGAGTGGGAGTGGAGTGAGAAAACCCGAATGTTGTCGAGAGTGAGATGGGTCTCTAGATTTTTACCCAGCGTGTTTTGGAGGCAGGGGCCGTTTTAAATTTGTGATGGTGGGGAATGTAAAAATTCGCTCTCGTTCGTTCTGTTGCCATGTCTAATTCTAGGGTTATGTGGATCGTACCGCTTGAACTTTTGTTTTTTTTTTTTTTCGTTGCCCCTGTTCTATTTTTTATTAAAAGGAAGTGTCCCTCATTCAAAAAGAATGGCAAAATGTCCCTCTTTTGTAAACCATTGAGAAGTCGGGAGTTGAGGACCCGACTTCTCAATGTAATTTTTAATTTATAAAATATTTTTAAT